AGCTGTGTGGCCTAGTGGTAAGGCCCAAGGCTCATAATCCTGAGGTTGCTGGTCCAATTCCCAAGAGATGCACCAATCCAGTAAGTATCTAGCTGTATAAAATGGATAATATGTAGACAAATTTATTATGTATGTGTCTATCCATGGATTAAAAATGCCTACTCTGCAAAAGGGGGAAGTGTTGGGGTACAGCACATGACCTGTTCCCTAAGCTGAAATGATCTTAAACTCCTCAAACTGTCTTCACAGAAATGTCAGAAACAGACACAGCCTCAGACTTACTTTGCGAATTAAGATGAAAGGAAGGATTTTCCCTTTTTCATCAAAAGTGAGCAGCTCCCACAGAGATAACAGAGGAGCTTACGAGATGAGCAGTGCTGCTGGTGACGATGCCAGAGGAGCAAAAAGCTCCCCCTGCTGGGGGAACAGGGGAATGAACAAATTTCTTCCTCTCGGCCACTGTGTCACCATGTTCTCCACTGGAAGGAAAAATACAAACACCCCAGCTATAAAATCCAAAACACAAGGACCTCAGGAGTGTATTTTAAGAAAGAAAACATTTTCACAGCGATGAGACCATCTCCAGCGAAAGCAAAGCAGACACGGCGCGGTATCTGCTTACACTCAGTAACAGGGGCTTTACGCTGTCAGGCCTTCCCTATTGTTCCTGACTGAGGCCCTCACATAGAAACTGCTTAAGCGTCTGTGGGAGCACTGAGAAATATCACCATTCATCGTTTACGCATAGAAGATCCCAGTGCATGCCTCAGCCGCTGTGAACTGGGCACACGGAGCTGCTTGTGATATTAAAGATGATACAGGAGCCCTTGAAAGTTAAAAAAAAAGTGACAAATTGAGTTAGCGTATGAAGCAGTGATGTTAAGCAGGCTCCTCTTTAAAGAGCTTTAGCTGGTGTCGTAACTCCAGCTCCAGGGAGCTCGTGGAATACACACAAAACCACCATTTCTGGCTGAAATCCCGCGCAGTGTATCATGCAACACAAAAAGACTCAAAATAAAGACCAGGGTCTGCAGTCTGCTACAGTCTGGCTGGAATTTGCTTAATTGCTTGAGTTCTAAAATTGTTTCATTGCTCAATGGAGGAGGAAGTCTCCATAGGATTTTGACTTTGATAAGAGTCATTAGCTACGCTCGATTTGCCTTTGCGAATGGGCTAATCAGATATTTTTTGTGATCCAATGCCAGTGTTGCACAGGAGTAAATGCTTGTGCAACGACTGAGTCCATTCCCAATAAAAGTTTTTTTAAATTTTTTTTTTATGGATTTTTCCTCCGTCCTCCTTTTTCCAAGACAGAGGTCTGTGGGGTAAAGATGCTGAAAGCACCCTTCCAATCACATTCCTAGCAGCCTTTATACAACTTCTGCAACTTATGCAACTTCTACGCAATAATTACACTGCCATACCTCCCTTGTATACAGTCAGAAAACAGCTACAATCCCCTAATACCCATTCATAACACCATACTGTCCATGTACACAGTCATAACACAGCTATGCTCCCCTAATACACAGTCTTAACACATCCATGCTATCTGTATACCAGCAGGCCCAACAGTCTTATCTACCCTATAGTCATAACACATGCATACTCCCCCTACACACAGTCATAACACTTCCACAGTTCCTTTATAAATGATCATAACACAGCTACACTCCCCTATTACACAGTTATAACAGAGCTACACTCCCCTAATACACAGTCATAACAGAGATACACTCCCCTAGTACACAGTCATAACAGAGATACACTCCCCTAGTACACAGTTATAACAGAGCTATATGCACCCTTACACACAGTCATAACATAAGGGGAGTATAGCTGTGCTATAACTGTATACTGTATATGGGGAGTATAGCTGTGTTATGACTGTGTATTAGGAGAGTATAGCTGTGTTATGAGACCACAATAGTCCCCTAATAAACAGTCTTAACACATCCATACAATCCTGATACATAATCCTACCGTTATACACAGCCTTAATACAACTAGTCCTACCCTTATAAAGTCATAACACAGCTATACTCCCCTTATACACAGTCATAACCCAGCTATATCCCCCCTAATACACAGTCATAACACAGCTATACTCCCCTTATACACAGTCATAAGACCAGAGGGCCTGCTGGCATCTCATTGTTCCGTTATCTGAAAGTTTTATTTCCTAGGAAAGAAATTAAGTTTACTCCAAGGTATTTATAGAGCTTGTGTCTGGCCAGCTACTAATAAAAGAGATTTGGCGCGCTGCAGTGTGTAGTTTTTAATAATGGAAGCACTGGGCCGACACAGCGTGCGGTTTTGGAGCGCGACAGACGGGTCTTTAAATTTCAGAAGAATTTCCTCCCAGAATCCCCTGGGGGGGGAGACGCTCGCCCGCCCGAGCCCGCAGCGGCTCCCAGCATGCTTCTGTTCTGCTCCGTTTTCGTGGGTCTGCTGCCCGCATCCAGACCGGCGTCTGTTCAGAGCCAAACCCCTGGAAAAACCACAGCGTACCCCCCTCAGTGACTCGAACCTATCACAGACAAAGGCAGCTGCATACCTGACCCTTTCTCCTGTCTGTGTGTATACCGTACTGCATCAGACCGCTCTGCGACCGGTGAGATATAATATCACAAAATAAGCAGTCAGCTTCATACTGGTATAATTGCTCCTGTTCATTTCTGTAATTTAATTGAAAAAAACAACATGAATATAGAGGATGTAACATTTGAGCAGGAGCGACCCAAATGCAGAGATCATTCAAAACACATGGAAGGACTGCAAACAGACAAAGAATCTTTACTACACAGGCAAACGTCGGCACAGGAAGGCACAGAACGCCAGCTCAAGACTGAGCAGGGAACGATACAACAGGCGGGGTTTAAATACACCGAACACTCAAAGACTAATTACAAACAGATGTGAACAATCAGACAATGATGCACACGCAAACAGGAAGAAAGTCCCTCTGGTGGGGGCTGAGGGAAGCAGCAGGCAACCGGGGCAGACAGGCTGTCACGGGGACGCCTGCTGGTCATTGTGGGAAGCCGTCTCCAAAACCCTGACGGAGAATGCCACAGTGTTTAGTCTGCTGCGGAGAAAACTGTGTGCCTCTGTCATTACTGTCACCCTGTCACATAGTAAACTCACATATAAAGATGACATCACGATGACGCCACGATGACATCACGAGTGAAAGGGTGAGTAAAAGCTTGTGAACAGGGAGAATTCCACGAGTTGCAGTAGCTTTGTGTTTGACCTTTGACCTGACGGGGCTGTGGAGTACACGCTGCTGGGTGAAGTGCTGCCATCCTGTGTGTTGCTTTGCTCCAGACAGCATGTGTTCACCACCACGCACGCTCCAATAGGGTTTCAAATTCTAGCACTGAGAAGCATGGAAAAGCCAGGCCGAGAAGAACATTTCAAACACATAAATCACAGAAAATCCTTCCCGAAATGGCACATTCCAAAAATAAAAATTCATGTGTTTTTTTTTTTTCTTTTCTCTTATGTCTTCAAAATAACTTTTATGAGTTCTTGACAAAGGCGCAAGCCAGACATGTGCTGGAGTGTACTGTTTCACAATATTTTGCAGGCTGAAGAAAAATTCAATAAAAAGACCACAGGTAATTATTATTTTTGGAGGATGTCCCCTTTAACTGTTTGAAATTGTAGCCATAACTATGGTGCATGTGGGAGACAGCATTGTGACTGCTGTTGGCAAAACACTCAGGACTTGCTAGTTTGGCAAGCAACCGCAGCACACATAATGACAATGTGTTGCCATGTGCAAGCGATGATCCCTTTTCACAGACGTGACACCCAAACATTGTTTTCAAAAACACTGTATTATCCGATCCGCGCATTTCATCCTTGAGGCTTGAAGCTTTCGCATGCAGTTCCGCTTTTTTTCCCTGGCGTTTACTTCCAGGGTCACGACCCGGCGGCGATTGTGCAGCGGAGGTGCAGCTGGTGTGTGTTACAGGGCAAGAACCCCACTCCGCCCCCTCCGGCTGTACGGGCCGGGTCACTCGACGGGCAGAGCTACCCGAGCGTGACTGATTGGAGCCATCACTCACCTCACTCTGCGGTAGGGCACTGAAAGGAGGTCTGAGGTGACATGCCGGGACTCAACAGCATCAGCACCTAATTAAATGACCCACTGAATGCACGTGTGCATGAGCGTGTGTGAATGTGTGTGAGGGTTACTGAGAGCATGCGAGTGTGTTCTTGTGTGAGCGTCTGAATATTTCAAAATGAGTGAAAGGGTGGGCATGTGTGTGACTGTGTGGAAGTGATCACATGTGGGTGTGGATGTGTGAGTCTGTGTCTGTCTGTCTGTCTGTCTATCTGTCTGTCTGTCTGTCTGTGTGTCTATCTGTGTGTCTGTCTGTTAGTATGTTTGTGTGTGTGTGTGTGTGTGTGTGTGTGTGTGTGTAACAGCAGAGGAACGACCCAGTCCAGTCATAGGATACACAGAGTTAAGCTTACAGCTCAGGGCTGCTCTGCTTGCTGTCAGGAAGCTGCTGAAAGCCAGAGAGCTGAAGGCTCTTCCATCCTGCTTCATAAGAGCCTTAAAATAGCTCACATCCAGCTGGTGTCAGCTCGCCAGGCTAAATTACTCTTTTTAGCACCTTTCAGAACGTCCAGTCTGCGTGTACCTGCACAATCCTCCAACAAACGAACGTGAGAAGGAAATGAATGCTCTACAGCAGGAGGGCTGAATTTTAAAGCCTGTCATTTTTCAGTAGCAAAGACAAAAGCAGTCACCACCAGTTTGCCCTTCAGTGTCTGATGTAATTCTGGATACAGGCAGATACGCGCACACAGGGCACACACACACACACACACACACACACACACACACACACACAAACCCCACATGTCCCTCACATCTCCAGTTGGCTCAGGGATGAGTCTTTGGGATTGTACATGTAAAAACTGGTCAAGACAGGTCAATTAATCTCCCATCATCCTCTGTTCACACCCAGCTGTTCCAGTGCACACTGATTGACAAGTTGGTATGAAAGCAAGTAAAAGGTCACGAGACAGACGGGTCCTTAAACTCCCTGT